CACAAGATCAAACCATGTGGAATAGCAAATGGAACACAATGATGGACTAGACCCAGCTTTAACTGAACTGCCCCATAGTTATTGCAGGTGGTACATCAAGCAATACTTGCCTGGGACTGCCTTAGGGCCCAAGCCTAGGGAAAAACCCCAAGTGCTTTATAGATACATGATTAGGGCACTACCTATTTCACAGCTGTGAAAAACATGTCGCAGAACGTGAAATAAGCCCTTCCCCGTGAAATCTGATATCCCCAAAATCAGCCGGGCTGGGGAGGGACAGGACTTGTTCTTCCCATGCATGGCTGTTATTGGAGGGAGATTAGATCCACACAGGCAGTGCAGAAGTGAGGGTGTACCACTCACTTCTGCGCTGCAGCAGCCCCAGAGCTGGGCTCCGGGCTTCTGCCCACCCCGGGTCTTTTCTGGGGCTCAGGGGGCCCAGGCTGGGGGCTGCCACTTCCCCCCCCCCAGCTCCTGCCAGTGCTTGGGGTGCCAGGCTCAGGGCATCTGGGCTAGGGGCTGCTTCTGCTGCCTGTAGCTCCCAGCTGCTGCTTGCCCTCCCTCTCCCCGTGGCTCCTGCCAGGGCTGGGGCACCCATTTTTCAAATTGTCCAGGGCCCCTGCATTAATCCACCACTGGCCCTGACTAGCAGCTAGGAGCCACTGGTTGGAGTGCTCCCAGCAGCACTGCGGAGATCGGATCCACCTCCACCTCTGGGAGCCTCCTCCAGCTTCAGGAAACTCCTGTAGGCAGCACAGAAGTGAGTATGGCAATCCTCAACCCCCTACAGCGGCTTTGAGACCCCCCCACAATCCCCTTTTTAGATTAGAACCCTCACGGTTACAACACTGTGAAATTTCAGCTGTAAACATCTGAAATCGTGATATTGACCCATTTTAAGACCCTCTGGCTGTAAAATCGACCAAAGTGAACCCCGTGAATTTGGTAGGGCCCTATACATGACTGAATGGTTCTGATATTCTATAAGCCTTTCCCCTTCATTGTGTGTTCTCACCTTGAACAGCTCTCATAAAAAACATTTTTTCCCCTAGGGACGACACAGAGTTCCTCAAACTTTCATTATTTCTGCAAAACTTTCCTCTCTGTCCCCACCACCATCTGCACGGAATGCATTGTGCACATCGAGGGCTTTTGTGCCTGCCATTGTTAGGAGAAGAGCAATCTTTTGCTTATCCCCCAATTGATTTGCCCCAGCGTTGTTCATATACAACTTAAATTGGAGAACTTACTCTACAGCACACACTGCAGCACAGCTACAGGAAGTCGGGGAAGCAGGGATCTGTGTCTGCTATTCCTTGCTAGCACTGGGTTAAAAGGCTGGTTACATAAACATTTGTCATGGTTGAGACTGATATCCCAGCAAATATCCTGGATGACTCTATCATAGAACACACAACCCATGTCATATACATGCATATAGCCACACAACCTCTTCTAGGTGCTAACTTCTCTTTGCAGGGTAGAAACTGCACAGATCTATGAACAGATGCAAAAGTGGGGACTGTGAAGAAGCTATTTTATGAAGGAGGTGGCACTGTTTGCTGCCCTTCTGGTTTGAAATATATGTGGAGATATAAATCTCCCGAGAGAGGGCTGAATTTTTAAAGTTTTAGTGATGCCCCAATGTGCAAATCCGTCTGACCACCAGAGTTTGTAATGCATGCTGGGAAATACTGCAGGTATGGAAGCAAGCCTGGCTGATTTCTATCCACTAGAGTAATCTTTATTTAATATGAATAGCCCATTAACTTTTAAAAACTTGTATTTAAGCCTTGATTCTCTGAATTTAGATGATCCGTAAGCTTCATTCTATTCAAAAAGAAGCAATATCACCCAATGTTATTAATCACACGAGGTCATCTGTCTAGTTCCTGATTCCATCTGGATAATCAGAGTCTGACTTTTATTTTTGAGCTCCGTGAGCACTTAAGAGCGATGGATAAATAAAGCATGTGCAAGAAGCAAAATCAGCAGTCAGAGCAATTTCCTAGATGTGGTGAAGGTAGACAACATCTATAGCTGAGTGACACATATCCCCAGCCTGATATTAATGTATAATCACACAGTGATCCACTAGGCAAGGCAGTAATATTCTCTATGGGGGAGGCAGAGGAAGGAAAGGGCAGTAGCAGCCAGAGTGCTGCAAACAAGAGTAGAAGGCAGAATTTTCCTAAAGCCTGATATAAAAGAAGAGGAATAGAGGCTTTTAATGTGAGAAGGGTATTTTAATTATTATTTATTATTGGATAACAGCTTGAGCTGGTAGTTCAAGGAAAAATTGTTTCGTTTCAGTCTCCATACATTCCACAAGGGGACAAGTCACGGTAGGCGGCATGGTTATGCTACTGCATTGGATGTTCAGTCACACAATCCATTGGGTTAACTAAGTAGAGAAAGTAAATAAATGATCAACCTTGTATGTGCATCCCAAAGGCCAATAAAGTCATAAATATTTTTGTATACTATTAGCGGCACAAAGATTAAGTTAAACATATGCCCAAGATTTTAAAAAATGATTAGTGATTTGGGGTGCCCAATGTGAGACACCTGAAAGAAGCCTCATTTTCAGAAAGTGTTAAGCTTCCCAAAATCAGGCCCCTTTAAGGAGTCTCAATTGGGCACCCAAAATCATTAGTCAAAATCACTACTCTTTTTTGAAAACCATGGCCTGTGATTTTGTTAAAATAATACTGTACACTTATATGGTGCCTTTCATCCAAATATCTCAAAGCACATATCAACAGTTGCTAAGTATTATCCTTATTTTACATATGGAGGAAACTGATAAATAGTGAAGTTAAATGACTTCCCCAAGGTCACCTGGCAGCACAGTGGAAGAATTAGGAATAAACCCCAAGTTTCCTGACTTCCAGGCTGCTGCTCTAACCACTAGAGAGTGCTGCTTCTAGCTTTGCTCCTTGCCTCATGTAAAAACAAACAAACCAGAACATACCAACTTAAAAAAAATCAGCAGTCTTTTTGAAAAGTTAATTTATTATGCATCAGTATACATTTTTGTAATAAAAATCCTCCCAAGGCCTAAATATTACAAAATGAACAAGAAAATTCAACGTCAGCCATCCCCAAGAGGTGCTAAATAAATTAGTATATAATACTATTGCCTATCCCGCAATATGTGTGGCAGCTAACTCTGCATATAGTGGGAAATATGCTGTAGCTTTAATGTTTGACATTTTATAATGAATCTGAAAACTGTTTCTGAACACAGTTATGGCAGGTTCAAGTTAACCACTCATTTTTCATGTGAAACCAAATACTGTCATGCAGTGAAAAGGCGGCAGATTGCACTATTTCCCTATAGTTTTTCTGCTTGTATCTTTACTGCAGTTCTATGTCAGGAGAGTTAGATTAAATAATTATCAAATATCTGAATGCATTTCCAAGTCCTCGATGAGCAGTCCCTCCAAAACCAAAACACAATTATAATTCAATGCTGTAGTCCTTCTACATGCGTAATTTTGACTGATGTCAATGGGAATTTTGTGTGTGTGAAAGGATTACAGCATCAGACACTGATGTTAAAGATGTTCTGTATCAGTGCAATGCACTCCCTTGTTTGTATTAATCCCCTTAAAGATCCTAACCAAAATAATATTGCATTTTTTTCTTAATAATGAATACATACATAGAAATGTGCTCCAGGATACCAAGGTTACAGTACTTTTATATAAGAATAAAATAGTACACAAAAAGATATAACTCAATTGGTACCATTTCTTTGAGACATTAATAGCTCTGTGTGTGTACACACACACAGTAACAGACACAGTCAATTCTATATCAAACTAAATAGGTTAGTCAGACAAACCATAACTCTGCATGGCTTTACTAATTAATACACGGCTGAATACACCATAGTTTTTAATTTTCAAATTTAAACAATTGGCTGAATTGTAGCCTAACTTGTGTAATCCCACTGAAATCAGTGGGCCTGATTCTCCACTCAGTCACATTTTGTGTCGATCTAATCTGATTCCACTGACTTGATTTGCACTGGTGAGAATGGAGAGAGCATGTGCTCTAAATTAGATCAGAACTTACCCCACATGTCATTAAGTAAACAGCCAGAGCCCCTAGGCTAGTGAGTGCTAACGAACCACCCATGTAATATGTAACTTCTCTTTGTTTTGCTCAACTGCCTAGAATGATAAACTTGCTCTTGAATTAATACTTTTTCCTTTGTATTGAATTATATAGCTTAATTGTATATGTGACTTAATGCTAATGCATACATATGCAAGCTAAAATATATTAACAGTAGAAACTACCTAGTTTTGTAATCTAGGGCAAAAATACAGAATTGTATAGCATATATAGACAATTCTTAGGAGAAGAGGGGCCTGTATTCTTGCAATTTTTTTATAAGATGATATTGTAGTAAACATCAGAGTGTCTTGTTACACAGGTAACAGCTTGGGCTTTCACAGGTATTTGTCAAGCACTGATACATAAAAATGAACTTTTTACAGACCCAACAACCCAATCTGTTTTCTTCAAAATAGTATAAAGTTTGTGGCTATAAAAACAAAGAACTACACATATAAAAAAATCAAAAATAATGTACCATACGTTAACATTCTGATAGGTAGAGAAAAAGAATATATACATAAATATATATATAGTAAATCACAGTTTCCTGCACTGAACACATCAAATAAAAATGTATCAAACAATACTGGGTGGTGTGCTTTCACATGCCTTGTGGTCTCCTTAAATCTCTGAGTTATAATGGAAGACGAGTTTATAGACAGAATACAACTTGTTCAGTGACCTAAATTCACACCTGTTTACAAAAAAACCCAAACCCCACACCAGAACCACCTGCAGCTCCCAGCACAGATATATATAAAAACAGAACAATAGCTATGTAGAAGTCTTATTTAAATACAGGCCCCAGCCCTGCAACAGAATCTATGCAGGTGGAACCCTGCCTCAGAGGGCAGTCACATCCGTGGGCAGTCACATCCGTGCAGGAGTCCGCTCACTCAGATCTGATTGTAGGACTGGGGCCCATGTTGGCATGTTTTCTTGCTTTATTTTGAATGAGGGTTTAACAGCTGTAACACACCTGATGACTGACAGTACAGGTAACAACAAATTTAACATTCAGCTTTGTTGACTGGTTGGTCAAAATTGTCATCTTCCTGACTTGAAAGATCAATGATACTTAGATTTCAGACCACTTAGGTAGTTCCGGCCCTTTCTCTTACATTCTGCCCTGCTTTTAAGCCATATCCATGTATTTCAGTTATAAAAAGGCACTAGCTGATTTTTTGGACACTGCTTTGTTTTCCAATACTCTAGGAACTGTAGTTATCAAAATAATGGGGGGAAAAATCGATTTTTGAAGACTACATGCACAGTTACTCTTATTGTGCTTTTGGGAAAAAATTCACAACACGCATTTTATTATAACCTGGATAGAAATGTTCAGCACAGGTTTTTAAAGTATAAATAACTATCCCTTGAAAGAAGGATGATTTAGTATTCCATAGGGTTCTAGTGGCATTACTAGTCACAGTCTTTGGAATCTTGCAATAATTAGCTAGGAATAACACTCCCATCTAGGTGTCAAGAGTCTTTTGGAGCATGGTATCCAAGCATTTCCTGTCTGAGACGTACTTTCACGGCTGCACAGGTTAGTGATGTTTGGAACTTGAAGAGTGGTAAATCCAGTCCAATGCAATTAGAATCATGCTTCCGAGCATAAAGATTATGCCAACTATGAGAAATATCAGAGCCTGCAATTGGGGAAAAAAAACATATCAATATTGAAAATATGTTAAGTCACAGAATAATTCTACTGGAATCATATTCTATATCTGTCTCCTACTAGGGGCCTGAACCTATGAAGTTCTACTTGCATGAGCAATCTTTGATAGTCCCTCGGTGAACCTATCTGGGTGAATGTTACTCCTGTGCAGAGGGCCAGCATGAAGCTCGTTCACAATTTAAGTGCCTCTGCACAGGGGTGAATGTCACCATATGTGAGCAAGGCTTTGCAGAATGGGCCCTAAACAACCACTTGCTAGTATTTACTTGCTTCATTAGTATGAACACTAATATGATTTATGTATCGTCTGTTTTGTTTTACCTTTAAAAATGGCCACACATGGTCTGATAGCAAGAACAGCTTTTAGTATTAAGCCCTTATGCCTTGATTCAGGAAAGCACTTGTGAATGTGCTTCAGTCCATCCCTATTCAGGACAGCACTTACGTACGTGCTTAAATTTAATGATGTGGTTAAGTCCCAGTGACTTCAATGGGACTTACATTCTCAAATTCTGAATTGGGACCTTCAATGAGCATAATCTTAGGACATTCCAACTCCTGCCACAAAAATTAACATTGTATTTCTAAGTGCAGGATGATAAATTCTGAATGTTTCAGACACAAAGAGAAACACCAGTGAATAGACACAACTTCGCTCCAAAAATCTGCAAAAATATATCTTACGTAGTAATGTAGTTATTGAAATGTTTATTCTTTTTATCTATTAATATGTATAAATGAAACTTTTTCCATGTTAAATATTTCAAATAATTATATTTATGTATATATTATCAAAATCTTTTCTGATTAATTTTCAATCTATACTTTCCCAAAAGATATTTGTTTAAAGAAATTATAGATGTTAGTGTTCAGGAAAAGAAGACATTGATATCACTGGCTAGAGCCTAGCATGATATGGATACCTGCTGCGGATATATAGGCCATGTCTCCTGTATATTTACTAACCTACCTCAATCAGGATCTTAAATACCTCTATTAATCAGTGTTACAATATCCCTGTTAACTGTGACGTGTAATCTTCCTCCTAGTCCATTGCTGACTACTTCTGAGGGAGACTGTCACTTGTTCTAAAGTATGTGGCAGTTGTGTGTTATGTCTAGATGTTAACTAGGGACTGTTTGAAATGAGTAAATGCCTTTTGCATGTGGTTTAAAACAAATGTTAATTCAGCCACACATTGCCATTTAGCCCATCACAAAATGATTGTCCATTTAATGTTTCTCAAACAGATGCCTGTACCAGTTTACAAAGGTAACTTCCACTATGCTATGAATAGACAGATGCAGTTTTAACACAAATAGCATTGGTACAGGGTCCCATGTACTGTCCTACCAGTCCTCCTTATGCCTACATTGATCATTTCTTCTAGTGTAAAAGGTCAGAGACAGACTCCTGCATATACAGATTATAATCCAGTCAAGGTTTGCATGCTTCATTATTTGCCACTCTGGAGCAGATGCTGCAGTGATAAATCTTGTTCTGTTCTAATTTTATGATGCTCATCTAAAGCCAAACTAAAATAATTTCATTTATAATGGCTAGTTCTACCCCAGCCCAGCCAGGATTCCAGCAGCCAAAGGCTGCTTCTTCACTAACCATGTTGCAGGTATTTGCATTGCAATGTCGGTAACATTGTGGGCTACACATTGCCTTCAGCCCGTGCATTAGACTCTCAAAAATATGAATAGAAGCACTATGCCCAGATTGGGAGCAATACGTGAGCCCTCTATTTTTAAAATAATACAGGGTATGCAAACACTGCAAAAAAAAAAAGTGTTCTTAACTCGGATTAAAATAGCAGTGATGACAAGACAACTTGGCTTTTAACTCGGATTCGCAACTCGAGGTAAAGCCAATAGAGAAGCCTGGGGTTGCTAACCTGAGTTAAAAGTTGCTATGTCTTCACTGCCATTTTAACTCAAGTTAAGACTACATCTTTTCTTTTTCCTGCTGTGTAGGCATACCCTAAGGGTGAAATCTCAGCCCTATTGAAGTCAATGGGAATTTTGCCATTGACTTCGATAGGATTTCATCTTTTGTTAATATATTTTGTACATTCTCCAGAGCTGTTTTCTCTTTATCCTGCACTGGTCAGCATCCCCAGTGGACATCAGTGACTCCTCGTGGACATCTTCTTAGCAATCTCCACAAAAAGATCTCTATTCTGGTGGCTGTGGCTAGCCACAAGAGCTTGCTGCACTGACCAATGCTTCTCTCCAGATGGCAAACAGCTCAGCACAGGTCCAAGTGGCTGTTTGAGACATGTGGTAGGGCTTCTGAAGTAATATCGCAGCAATGCTGATGTACTACCATCCAGCATCAAATGGGCAAATTCTGACCCCAATCCAGTTTTTAAATGGGGAGGACATCCAATTAACTTGACACCAGAGCAGGTGGGGGCACACAGGTAGACAGACAGCTCAGTAATAGTTGCCCACAAAGCAGTGTGAGATAGCAGCATTGCGTGCACATGAACAATGGACTGAACTAATCTGATTTGCATTGAACTCAGTTCACTTTGAAGGAGGACTCCACAGTTTGCAATCAATGCGGATTTAGTGTGTTATAATTAGGCGTGGCAGAATTCAATTTTTATTTTTTTTTATAGTTTTGATGGATTATATCAGTTTATTTTTAATCGTTATTTGATTTTTGTCCATTTAAATTTTCACAGTTGTGGGAAATTATGGGGGAATCACACAATGGAAGGGTGTCAGACAACAGTTACGTAATGATGGTAGACGTTGAGATTCAAAAAGTTAAAGCTTTATAACCATTAAAACACAAATGGTCAAAATATACAGAGCAAATATCTTTAAATCAAATGCTAATAAGTTCTTAGGTGACATTAACTATCTGTAAATTTCAGTTATTATTGATGGAGATTTTTCTGTATAGTGGTTTGTGTGTGTGTATGGTGAAATTGATGTTTACTGGCATTTACCAATTAAGAATCTAATCCAGGGGAGGCCACCCTGTGGCTCCGGAGCCACATGCAGCTCTTCAGAGGTTAATATGCGACTCCTTGCATAGGGGCTGACTCCTAGGCTGGAGCTAAAGACACTAACTTTCCAATGTCCAGAGAGTGCTCACTGCTCAACCCCCTGCTCTGCCCCCACGCCACCCCTTCCCCCAAGGTCCCTACCCCTTCCCCTGAGCTTGCGCACGCGAAACAAATGACTGCGGCGGGTCGGAGGCATGGGGAGTGAGCGGGAGGTGCTGATTGGTGGGGCTGCTGGCGGGCGGGAGGCTCTGGTGGCTGGAGGGTAGGGAGCTGATGTAGGGGCTGCTGATGTATTACTCTGGCTCTTTGACAATGTACATTGGTAAATTCTGGCCCTTTCCCAGGCTCAGGTTGGCCACCCCTGATCTAATCCTTCCAAGCCTACCTACAATGAAGTGTGTCTTGTGTACACAAGCATTTTCAAACCGGATTAATTTTTCTTAATCTGGATTAACCCCCCTGTGTAGACAAGCCTGGCATTTCTCAAGAGCACTAATGTCCTGAATGCTAGTCAAGGACCGTAGGATTCCACTGCTCTTTCGAGGGACTTTAGAACCATCTACTGGTCAGCTCCGTCCCTTGTGTAAGAGCCAGTGTTGCAGCTCATAATATAGGGCAAAATTCCACAGACCTTGTACTGCTTATTAATTCTAATGAAGCCAATTTGGGCTCATAATTGCAACAATCAATGTGAAACAACTGCTAATTGTAACAAAATAAAACAAAAAAAACCTCCTCTTGTAATTCCCACTACTTTACTCACCCCAATCTTCTGGGGTGACCTCAAGGGTTCTTTCTTGACAAGCCGTAGATAGAAGGCAGCAGGAAGAATGAAAATCAACATTGTGGCAGCCGATGCACCTGGAACAGAAACCATAATTGAGTTCTGGTTAATATGTAAACATGTACAGCATTTTACAGAAAAGAAAATATACCTGGAGTGTTAGCTACAGGCTCAGCTATAGTTCAGGTTGTGCAAGGGTGTTCATTATAACACCATGTTTTCAGTTAGTCATAACTTTTTTACATGTTCACCCTTCAGACTGAAAAAAGTATCCCATTTGGGAGCAAAGGATAGGGTATAGCAGTGTTATTATTTCTTTGAGGGGCATCATCTGCTTTTTTCCTATAACTATCTGACTTGAAAAATGAGCTGCATATCAGAGAGAGGCCAGTCACTTTGGACTGTCATGTTTTCCTCCTTTGTTTTTTAGAACAACTAAAAGACACTCTCTTTATCCTAATAAATTATCAACAATATAGCAGTTTTGTGGTATTTCCCAACATATTTCTACCTTTGAAAATTACAAAAAGTCATACTCTTTTAAAAAGATTACAGTAAACTGTGGGCTTGTGCTATGAATTCCATCTGATACTCACTGAAATAATCTGAATTGAACTAACAGTTCCCAAACTCTGGACAGGAAAGCTGTTCTTTTAATCACTGGCAAGGTTCTATCCACTGTGGTTTAACTTACTATACAATTATTCATATTTATTTTCATTGCATAGTAAGATTATTCAGAGTAGAAAGTTTTCTAACCAATAATATAATAAAAAAAAGACTATAAACTATATTGGCAATTCTGCTGAGTGACATAGAGCTTCTTTACAGACCAGCAGTGGGTAAAAAACAAAAAATGAAAAGGAGACCAGTACTATAAATGCAGGGGAAACTTTCTCCAGGAGTATTTGGAACTCCTGACTCCTCAACCAACACTTTCAAACTGACAGAAAACAAGTGTGTGTGTGTTGGGGGGTCAGGGAGAGAAATCTTTTTCCTAATTCTTTTTTTTAATCCAAATTTGGAAATTCAATACATCTTGACCAGTTCTATAGATGGTGGAGTTTCTTAACTCTCAAAATTTGAAGTGAAACTTGTTGACATTTTTTGTTCTCTGTGACTTACACAGGCTGCCAACTAAAGTCTGGTACCATTTAGCTTGGATGAGTCATTTTCAGTCTCTTTTTTTTTCTTTTAACCCTTCCAGTGCAAAATCAGGAATAAGTGCACTGAAGCTACTGCATTGTAAATGAGACAAAATTCACTTCCAATATATGAAAGTGAGACATTTTGTTTTGATACAGATTAACATCATAAACTGAAAATATTCATGAAACTTACCAATAAATCCAAAGATGTCTTTAATAGCAGGCACAAAAATTACAAGTGTGTTAGTAAATGCAAGAATTACTGCTGCGATCAGGAAATGCCTTATCCAACTGAATGGCCTTTTGGGAAACAACAATGCGGTGACTGATGAGCGGATCTGTAACAGGAAAAATAAAAGCAGAAGATAGTGGATTTTGCAACTCATTGCTCCTTTAAGATCTGTGCTAGTTTTCCAGTGAGGAATTTTAAACAAAGAAATATATTTTAATTCATTTTCTTCCCTTAATGCAATCTCTTTTACCACACAGATGTAGTTTGAGGCTTGGGTTCACAGTTTATTACAGAAGCTCAAATATTTACCGGGTAGAAGACAAGTAAATAGGGTGTAAAAATTAGGGAGAAAAAAAATCTCTTCCACTAAAAGGTGCTGGTATCAGGAAAATACAAAGAACCCTATAACAAATACTAACTAGCAGAGGAAAAATGTATGTATGTATGAAATATAATCAGATGAGTTATTTTAGATCTGAACCTGATTCCACTGAATTCTGTGGGAGCTTTACCACTTACTTCAGTGGTACCAAGATCAAGCTGTAATTTATTTCCATTTTAAAATATATAACAAAATAAAAAATAAACAGCTATGAGGATTATAACATTCAAAACTGTATTTATAAGACGTATAGAGAGCACATTCTCTTTGCTTATTGTGACTTCATCACAGATTTGAACATAGTTTCTATGCTTTTGTACAAGCAGAGATAAGTAGGTAAAAGGTCAACAGCAAATCCATTTGGCAACAGCAGATAGTGTTACACTGCAATATTGCAAAGCGGTGAAGAGATCCTCAGGGTGGAAGTAGAACAGTGTATGTTCATATACTTTTAAAAAACATATGCTCCAAATCATTCCCATCTTTTAAAATAATAGCTGATTCTGAACTAGTTGGGTAATTCAAAAGGAGTATGATTTTCTGTCAGACTTGGAGTCTTTACATTTAAAAAAATATTGAGAGATCTGCATTTTAGAGTTTCAGGTCTAAGTGTTGTGAAGAGATAAGTGGGTTTAAAATAATAGATTTTGAATTTAATATTGAACTGCTTTAAAAATTCTAGGCCAGGCCCTCATGCTGATTTATACCAGCTAAAGCACTAGTTTCTTTCTCTCTACTTGTGACGTTTCCAGTATGTTATATCTGGCATGTGGTTCCACTTGAAATTAAACCTGTATTTAAGTTTCATTGATGATTAATGCCATACAAAGGTAAATTTAAAAACTCTGATATTTGAAGTATAATTTTTTGTAAAAGAATAAAAATGCCAAATACTTCAAATAATTAAAGTTACAAATATTGTTCTCGAAATTAAAAATGTAGAGAAAAACTAATTGTTGGTGTAAATTTCATGATTCATTCTACACTGCTCATCTGAAGTAATACTTCAATAATGCTGAGCTGGCTAGACTGATTGGCCATATAGAATCATTCAGTACACTGGCTTTAGAATATCTGACACTGCTTCTTTGGTGTTACCTTAATAGAGCACTTTATGACCGTGGTATCTAATTGCTAAAACTTTATTTGATAAAAATCTGGCAGATGTGGATTTTTTTATGCGGTAATCAAAACGGTGTTGCCTTTTAGCCTATTTTCAACTGCAAAATGATCACCCTGGTTAATAGTTTAACTGTGAAAACAAAAGTGATATTTACACCACAGCTTCAGGACTCAATCCAAGCTAGCTGAGCTGATCACTATGTGTGTGTTTTATACTGGGGTTACACCGTAACCTCTCAAAGATATTTCTAAGGGCATATATTATATTACTTGAGCAGTTATCATTGCTTTTAAATACACATCAGTATGTCTGTAAACAATACACATTCAGGACTTATGATTCAAAATGTAACCTTGCTGTAATGCAAAGGCCATCATGCAGCAGTACCCTGAGAAACCCAGAACTGCTGAGAGGATCAGACAGCTGCACAGGAGCTGCTAGAGCATGTGATGCAGATAGTCGGAGCTCGATCAATAACAGTGTTGGATTTGGTTCTGTATGGCTGACTGCATTGACGTCCCAGAAGCTAGTACATCCACTACTTCCAATATGAGCATAAAAAGTAGGGCTGTCGATTAATCGCAGTTAACTCGAGCAATTAACTAAAAAAAAAATTAACTGTGATTAATCACAGTTTTAATCGCACTGTTAAACAATAATAGAATACTAATTTAAGTTTATTATAAATATTTTTGGATTTTTTTCTACATTTTCAAATATCCTGATTTCAATTACAACACAGAATACAAAGTGTACAGTGCTCACTTTCTATTGTTATTTTTTATTACGAATGTTTGTCCCAAGAAGTTGCTCAGAATCACTAACACGCCAGCCTAATTTTGCTAATCTTGTTAAATACAGTACACAGGAGACCACAGTTATACTTGGCAATAATCCTTTGGCTTTGATATGCTTCAGTTTTTAAATGTTCAGTACTCCGAGTTACCCAAAGTGCAGCTGTTTGTCTCAGGTGAAATATAAATGAGAAAACAGAAAATGTCACAAAATCCCAGGGCTTAGTTCTCTTAAATGTTAAAGTATGACAAAATTAATGTAAAAATAGATAATTACAGTCCATGTGTATAGGCTGCCCAGATTTAATCTTCAGAAGCTGTATTTACTTACAGGGAAAAGGACTATGGGCACAGTCAAGGTGACCGCTACGAGCACTGCCAGGCGAACCAGCAGAAGAGGGGTGTCGAAGGAGTACACTTTGGTGTATGTATGAAGTAATTCATCTTCAACTTCTCCTACAAAAGAAAATGAAAACAGGCTTAAGCTCATTCAGGCACAATCTATATTTTCAAAACTAAGATTTTATAACTTAGCAAGATGAAAGAGGATGTGTCCCTGCAGTTGTGGTCAGACACATGCTACTGATTAGACACAAAAAATGCAGTTTTGCTCAACATCAGTCCCTCTGTGGTAGAAATATTGGTAGTAATAACATTCAGCATTTATATAATGCATCTCATCCAAGGATCTCAAATTACTTTACAAAATGTGCTATATAAACCTCAGATGGGGGAAACTGAGGCACAGAGAGGCAAACTGACTTCCCCAAAGTGTGTAGAACTCCTGGCTTTCAGTCTGGCACCCTAGCCACTGAACTAAACTGCTTCTCTAAAAGGGACAGTGGACACTTGTGTTTTGAAAATATTCCACGTGCAGTAATTATGTGCAGCACTAACTGTTCTGTGCCATATGCTTCCATGTCATAATGGAGGAACTAATAAAGTAAAAAGCAGTGCAAGTTTAAGCTGAGTGCAGCAGCAGCAGTAACATATGGTCTACTATGTCTACAGACTAAGTTATACTAGGTAGTCCCTCCCTATGGCCTTTTGTACACTAGCATGTATTGCACATGTTTTCAGGAAAGGTGAAGCTGCAACAGTGGTGTAGCAGTGGTGTAAGAGCTAGAGACAGAAGTGCTCCATTGTTTTGTGAAAACCTGCTGAGTATCGCCAGCTTGGCTTCCTTTGGCCATGTGGAAAGTGCAGGGCCGCCCAGAGGGGGGGCAAGTGGGGCAATTTGCCCCAGGCCCCGGGCCCCGCAGGGGCCCCCATGAGAATATAGTATTCTATAGTATTGCAACTTTTTTTTATGGAAGGGGCCCCCGAAATTGCTTTGCCCCATGCCCCCTAAATCCTCTGGGCGGCCCTGGGAAAGTGTGACATCTACAGCATCTTGTTTACTGAATGCATGCAGTCATGACACACACAGCTGTTCATTCTCACCAGCAGGTACTGATAACCTCTAAAAGAAGAGAGAAACTTCTACAGAGAATATGGCTTTGACTCACTGACTCACCGTAGAAGGTAAGATAACCAAAGAGAGCAGCAAGCAGATACATGATCAGCATTCCAGCAATGGAGATGTTTGAAACATTCTGCATCCTCTTTCGTGACCGGCTGGGTAAAAAGGGAAGAATAACAGTGTAAATAAAGTCTATATTGTATGTATCTTCTAGCGAACTAACAGTCCAAGCTGTATTCTGCTAACATTGTCACTAGTTAGTGAATTCAAAGCAACTAAACCTAAATCAGTGTTATAACAAACTCAGGTGAGTTTCGAAGCCCACTGTTTCAAACCCCAGTATCACACTGTACAGAACAGCTCAGAATGATTTGTATATATTAAGGTTTTATATTCAATTGCTAACTTGATAGTGTTAAAATTTAAATGTATTATAACTACATATTTATATAACATCAACTTCAGGCTGAGGTTTTTTAAGTAAAAATGTCGGTACTAAAATATAAAAGCATTGTTCCTAACTCTAGGCCCCAAGCCTACCATCAGATTTGCATGAACGCACACTTGTGTCAATGCAGAGCTACACTGAGGATCAGGGACCGACAGAAGAATAGGCAAGGTCAATTCTTCTTTAAAATGCACATCAGTTAAATATTTTTACAAGAAAGTCCTGAATTAGGATTGGCCGGAAATGGGCATTAAGCATCCATAAGTTTACTTCCTCAGAACTCAACAATGCTAAGATATGGAGTAATGTAAACTGGCTACCATGGACATGTGTGATAAATTACTGCATCTGATTGGCTGTAGCATAAATTTGGAAGAAATAATTACTGACTATTGAGAATTCAATCAGACCGCATGAGAAAAATCTTTGCTACATGATACAGTCCTTATTCCTACAGCCAGATCCTGCAGGGCAGATCTTTGCACCCACCTAGAGTCAATGGGACTCCGGGAGATGTAAAGGTGAGCACTGACAGATACAGGTGCAGGACTGGAGCCTCACTCATGAAGATGTTTTTGGTGTTCTGCAACACTTGAATTCACTACCATAATAGAAATGTTTCCAAATATTTCTGGTGATTGATATTTCATAAAATTTCACTTCATTTCAAGGAATACCAAGATTTATGGTCTCTTAAGGTAAATACTGACAAAGGTAAACCTCAGGTCAGTAATCCTGATGTATGTTTTATCACCAATATCTGCTTTTTTATGATCTGATGATTGCTACTGGGTTAACTATGGAAGTGTGTGACAATTGTTTTTAAAAGTAAAGTTAAGAGCCTTACTCTTTAAGTTCACTGTATATTGGTAGCACCTCAGGGTGGCATACGAATGCAAATGCCAGGATGGGTATTGTATAGGCAGTCTGAAAAACAAAGGTGTTTAATATGAGTATTCACTACTGAATCATCTGAATTTATCGTGTTTGGCAGCAGTTTAGTTGTGGAGTTAATGGCTATAGACAGATTCTATGGAATCTCCCTTACCTGTGAGTTAAAAACAAAATATTTGGGTTCGCACATGTCATCACTATTACTATGGGCTTCATATTCCACTCCACTTGTGTGTAGGGTGTCTTTTGCCTCCTCAAAACCCGTGGTGTGCCCAGGTGTATTGTCCATCATGAAATTCACTCTAGAATTAACAGACTCATTTGGTAACATCACTAAGTGCATCGGAACTGAGTTGTTGTTGTAGGTCCAGTTTCCAACACTATTTTCCAGGACAGGGAGAGGGCAAGGTATTTGGGATTTCTTGTAGATTACCTACAATAAGAATAGAAAATGTCAACACAAGTCTATAGCTTTGAAAAGGTAGCTTCTATTTATACCCTTGACTGAAAACATTAGTGGCTGAAAACTTAATGTTTTAAGGTGGCAAGTTGTGATTACTGCCCCTGCTTGGCTAGGAATTGAGCATATCCTATTAGTTTTGTTACTCTGCCTCCACCTTGCTTTTTGTCTCAGCTCCCTGTTATGTTTTGCTTTTTAGACTGTAAGCTCTTTGGGATAGCAACTGTCATATACAGTGCCTAGCACTATAGGGTTTTGACCAGGCTGGCCTCTAAACGCTAGTAATAATAAATAAGTACAGAGAAGACATCTAAAGTTTCTTAATTATTTACAGATACTGTATTTCCTACTTTTGGTTATAGCTAGTGATATATTTCATATAGTCACATACCACAGTGAGAAAGAAAACCATGCAGGTAAGTGAAAATCCACTCGTATAACCAAGGTAACCTTCAAAGAAAGAATAAAAAAATAAACATGCAGTTAAACCACACATAAATTCAGATGACTAATCAAGATAAGAAACAAAATAATATATTTTAAGTAAGGAAATAGTTTTACCTAAATTTTTTAGAAGGGAAAGTGGAAGAATAATTCCAACTGACACAAATATAACGAGGTAGTTACCATTCAGGTACCATTCTCTAAAGAGGGAAAAAAACAAATCAAACCAATATTAATCATTTCTGCCAAGGTTAACTAGAATATTTTCGTTCAAGTCATAGGTCGTGCAAAACAAACATACCCAGAATTCTCTTCAAGATGCAGAAATGCTCGGATTACTTCAGGAAGTTCATATTTAATAATAAAGAGGTAGCTTGACATTGCTGAAAAAACAAACACATCAGCTAAGTAAAGTAGAATAATATAGTTCCAAAGCAGGGTCATTACTATTAACATTCTTTAAAAAAATAAGAGAAACGACAAACTATATATTATTTTGAAAATGCAATATATACATTGATTTTAGTCAAACTTGCTTAACTATATGAACATGTAGATGAAATGAACTACAGAGTCCCGTTTTCAGAATTGGGTGTCTAAGTTATGGTACATAGGCAGTTCTGTATTTTGGCGCTCAAATCACCATTTATGTACCATAATTGGCAGTGCGAATAAACAGATGATAACTTGACAGTGCTCCCTATTAAAAAGGTAAGAGCCATATTCTGAACTAAAAGTAGCTTTCAGCCTCAGAATATGATATATACCTCTACCCCGATATAATGCGACCCGATATATCATGAATTCGGATATAACGTGGTAAAGCAGCGCTCCAGGGGGGCAGGGCTGCGCACTCCGGCAGATCAAAGCAAGTTCGATATAACGCGGTTTCACCTATAACGCGGTAGGATTTTTTGGCTCCCAAGGACAGTATTATATCGGGGTAGAGGTGTAGTTATTATTGAATTAACAGTGCACTCGAGTTGCTGTTATGCTGAAATATACATTCTTACCCCATCGCTTTGTTATTGTAAATCCTGCTGCTCTGATGGCCTATTTTCCTCAGAACTCTCCATCCATTACTCATAATAAACTTGGCTGCCTCAACTTCTGACCCCCCTCTTCCCAAACTGTCAACCTACTTAACCTTTGTTTTCCCTGTGTTACATTCCTCTCTCATCAACTAAGTATAATTCCTTGTCTAGTTAAACTGTATTTGATATCTGGGCTTCACTAGGGAAGGACAGAAGCTGAGACACGGATGTTTGTTATGCACTCATAGATGGGGTCTTTGAAGAGTCATAGTAGCCAATCAGAAGAGAAGGACTGATTGTGCAATTCTCTCTGTTGTGAATGGCTACTATTTTAGTACAATTATTATTAAATTGCTATACAATTAACAAGATTCTTTTGCTTTGGATGGCTGATTGTGATTGGCAGCCAGATTATAGAGGTTTCAAAACAGTACAAAGTTTTAAAAAACTGAGACCATACACATTTCCATTTCATTTCCAGTGAGCTAAGGCCCAATCCTGCAACTTTTACTCACATGGGAAATAACTTGGGACTGTTATGCATGTAATGGGATGTCTCATGTGAGTAAAGTCTACTTGTGTGAATGAGGTTGCAGGATCAAGCTCTTAGAGAGTGGGAGCTCAGGGTGCTCAACATCTCACAGGATCAGGCCCAAAATAAAATGTGGTGTCAAGAGATAATTGAGCTGGAAAATCAATTGCTGAGCACCTTTCTCCTATTTTTTTCTGTTACTGTGAAAAGTAATGTGTCTGCCTTTTTTTGCTATGCACATCACTGGTAACCATATACTCCACTGTGCTCAATCCATGATGGCATCCACATCAGCCTGAGGACATGTGCTACCAAGGGAGACCAGTGTTTATTTTCATTATGGAGAAAAATGTTAAGCTTTAAAATATTTGTTTATAAGAACATTTTGCCCTTACCACCAATATTCTGCATTGTAATCGAAACAAAAGCACCATATTTTCCAGGCCATCCAAATGCCTTTTCACCTAGATTTTCATATATTAGGGAGCCTAGATGCAAAAAGAAAACATGGTGGGCTGTAAAAATGCACATTGTTAAACACATTTAAAGGAGAAATATGTGCATGAAACATGAACATTCAGTTAACCAACAGTGTCCTCATACCTCCTTCTTTTGAGGTCTTCAGTAAAAGGTGAACTGAATAGAGTGATAATATTGCTATACTGAGCAGTAGGATTCTGTAAGGAATAACAGAAATTAGAATCTTGAAACTGACAACAGAAATAATAAATTGACTTAACAGAACATATATTGAGTTGCTCTCCATCAGTTTAACATGTACATTGTCCCAAAACCAGTTTGAGTACTGGAGTCATTGGCCATAATAAGGCAGAGGTAAGCTTAGGCTGTAATTTATTTATACATCCTCTGGCAACCTGAACATACATGTTACACCATCTTAGCTTGCCTCTAGAGACTTACTTAGACTCACTGAGGCTCCGATTCTGCATTGTCCCCCAAAGGCAGATTCCTGCACCCACATAGAGCCCCAGTGAAGTTAACTGGACTCCGCGTAATCGGACCTTCCAGAATCCAGGGCCTTAGACTCCCACCCATTTACCGACATGTAACTTAACCCTCTCTCCTTACCCAGCACCTCTGAACCATCTGAAAAACCATAACAACTTCAATGGGAGCTGTTGGCTACCCCCATGTTTGAAAATCAGAGCATTTGGCTGCCTAAGAACCATGGAGCCTGAGCTTAGGAGCTCATATTTGACACTATAGATATATAGAGAGATCTCATGTAATGATCAGGGATAGCAAAGACCACTGTATGACATTGGAAATCTTGCTTTCTGAAAGCATACAGCACTAGCTTCTAACCCTGGCGGGCAGACTGTAAGATACTGATTCTTGAATTCATATAATTCTGACTACCCTCAAGCTTCCTCCACATACTATTTCAATTCTACATGATTTCAATGGCTGGTATTTTGAGAACTACTGATGCAAGAAACTAAAGCTTTATGTAACTTTTTCAGGGCAAATATCTACCCAGCAAATATCTCCAACAACTGGTGATGGGACACTAGATGGGGAGGGCTCTGAGTTACTACAGAGAATTCTTTCCCAGGTGTCGTTCTAGTGGGTCTTGCCCACATGGTCAGGGTCTAACCGATCGCCATATTTGGGGTCTGGAAGGAATTTCCCCCTGGGTCTGATTGGAAGAGATCCTGGGGTTTTTCATCTTCTTCTGCAGCATGGTGCATGGGTCACTTGCAGGTTTAAACTAGTGTAAATGGTGGATTCTCTTGAAATGATCATTTGAGAACTTCAGTCACTCAGCCAAGATTATGGGTTTATTACAGGAGTGGGTGGGTGAGGTTCTGTAGCCTGCAGTGTGCAGGAAGTCAGACTAGATGATCATGATGGTCCCTTCTGGCCTTAAAGTCTATGAGTCACTATATTCTGGGCAGCACTATATTCTGCTCACCACCTTGCCTTCAGCCTGTGAAAAGCTCCTATAAACACTGCATGACTGAGTTGTACATATTTTGGGGGAGATATTCTGGGGTACTCTATGTAGCTACTCCCCTATTAACCAGAAGATTTTGGTGAAAAATCCACACGGGAGTTAATGCTGATCATTGCAGCATTAAGGTACCAATCCATGGCCTTGTACCCATGCAGAAAGGTACGTAAGGAATTGAACGATAGCAAGGCTCCTGAATTAGCTATAGTACAAGAGGAAAGAGGGACTGGGGTCAGTGTAAAGATGCTGGTCCACCATGCAGGTCCTTAGGATCCGTGTGGCGTTGGGACCTGAGTTTCTTGTGGATTTTGTAGAGCTGTGGAATTTCCAGGCCACATCCCCCGTCCCCTCCATGCAGCTGCAAACCATCCCCCTATGTGGGGAGAATGCAGGGAGGGTGCTACAGGGTTAAACTTTCTGAACTTTAGGAACCTTTCTCCCCTCCTGTGGAAAATCTCACTGAAAGGGAGCATTCGGGCCATCTCTGAACAATACATTAGTGACAGTAAATATAACCTGAATTAGGATTAGTACAGCAGTTTTCATTTGGCAAATGGAATTTTTCAATCCTTTTGAAAGCTAAAGTCACAATCTATAAGTACAGGATCATGTATAGCAAGTAGATGCCTGACACTGAAGTAAGGATATCCTCCACAAACTTGTCTGCTTTTAAATGAGACTCTCCCCCACAAGAAGGGAGAATGTTCTCATTCCCAAAGTATGAAACTATGATAGGACAGCAAGTGAGCTGCTGGGTGGAGATAGGGGTTTATGTTTGTTTTTTATTAGATGGCACTATTTAAATATTATCCCAGTCTAAGGGTGACAATTTTTATTTCTGCCAAAGCTAACATGACTGGCTCATGATAGTGTTTATGTTAAATTTAAGATTCATTAGCCATAGTTTTGAATGTGCGGAACCCTAGCAGTTAGGATTTAGAAGATGTAGTAGAATTTTTTTTAGCCAGGGCTAATATACAATGGAATAGAGATACTTCATAGCCAGGTTGGTTATTACTGAACACCATAAGGAAGAAGAGCTTTTGAACTCTAAAGAGTTTTTTAAAAAGCCTTTCAAAGTTTCTTGGCTCTGGAGCACTCCCTTTTAAAACCAGTTTCCATTTCTGTGGGAGCAAATGCTCTCACTAAGACATTTAACTACCTGATTTGCAGGTGCTGTCAGGTAGTTAGCCGTCAAAGTGGTAGCATCTGCACTCATAATTAATTTCAGGCAAAAACTCTGCATCCAAAAATAGGAGATGCCATTCTCTCTTGGGACCTAAGTATACAGTTTCAGAGCCTGCTGCAGAGTTTTTGTTACACAACTTTCAAAAGTCAAGAGGAATCACACAGAGAAAACTCTGCAAGCTGATCTGAAGGTTTACTTTTTTCCAGTAATGTAAAGCAATCACCCACACTGCATTCTAGGCTTTCTACTAAACAAAGGAGGATTAACATTAAGGCCCACATAAACAACCAGATTATAAAACTAAAGCCACTTACTAAAGTGGGACAACTTTTAAATGTTGTCTCTCAACCTGATAGGGGTAGCCGGGGATGTCTGTTGGTGTCTATCAAAGCATATGCTGTGTACATACCGTATGTCAGCGACATGCCATTTCTGTCTTCAGTGGTACAGACAGATTTTAGAGAGAGTGGCTGACATTAAATATTGGTAAATCTGTAGCCATATTTGCATTAAGCCCCCACTTTCTGTTTCAGGGCTAGAGTTATATGGGCACAAAGTATTCTTCCTCCATCTCTACAAAGTTATAATTATAAACATATAAATAAATGTATACTTTACTGCTTGTGTGGAATTGCCTGTATTGAAATAGTGGGAATGCTGTTGTTATTTTAGGAGAAAGAAGTACACTGTCCTTCCAATTTGGTTTTTGACTGGACAGTATAAATTCCCAGCAATGAATCTAATACAAAACACAGCTGAAATTAGGGTGGTTTATCATGATTAGACAGATTCTTGCAATACTGTTAAACTGTTTTCATTACCGGAGACCTTAAAAATCTCTTTATCTATAAAATGTTGTTCTTCACTTAAGCATTTTTCTCTAATCACAGAAACACTGATGCTAGCTCGCTAATTATATTCTCCCCACTTTTTGAATACTTACACAAAAAGTATAATTCCTGTGTTGGCCATGGCATATGACAGCCCTAAGATGCCACTCCCCATGATGGCATTGCTCAGGTTAAATGCTGACATTCCAAAGGAAGTAGTTCCTGGATTCTATTGAAAACAACAACAAACATGGTAGTTAAGTTGTGGCTTAATGAGTGCAGTGTAAAACTGTGCTTTTTCAAGTTGCTGGCTTTCCCTTCTTCTGTTCTGTTGAGTACTATGGATGTTGTCTTACTACACTGCCTGATCCTACCAACATTTTTTACTACAGAACTAGTACTTACCATTTATTACTTGTATTACCAGAGTGCCTAGGGTCCCTAGCTACCTCAGAGGGCTTACAAGAATAGTACTATTATGAGAACTCCCTTCACTTCAAGTACTGTCACGGTAGGATGTGTTTGCAGCATCAACACAATAGCTTTTTTTGGTCCAAATGGGGTGTAGAGTTATGTCCATACCAACAAGCGATCAAAATAAAACTGCCATCAATGACTACAGTTACCCCGTGTCACTAAAAACCATAAATGTCATCTTTTTTGGTCATAACAGGCCTGAATAAAGAAAAACACCAATATATAAAAATGGAAAAAACTAGCTCTTTGGGCTGTATTCTCATTTACACCAGTGGAGTAACTTCACTGTGCAGTGAATGACTTGGAATTGTTATTAAATATTTATACTATAGTAGGGTTCAGGTTGTTTTATAGACCACAAACCCACATGAAGGAATCCACACGAAGAAATAATCCTGCCCCCAAAAGTTTACAATATAAGGTCCTGATCCTGTAAAAACATGGGCCTAGATTCACAAAAGTATTTAGGTGGCTAAACCCCAGATTTAGGCACCTAAGTCTGGGTTTAGCCACCTAAAACCCAGTTTTAGGCTCCACTGTGATTCACAAAGCTCCCAATGAACTCCCTTGGCACCCATGTTGCTCCAGTAAAAGTTCCTGAGTCACCTGTCTTTCTGTCTTTGGGCATTTGCACTGCGGCCTCCCTCTAGCTGTCCAGTGCCTGTCTCCCAGAATGATTCACAAAGCAGGGAAAGATAAGCATTGCCTGGATAAGTCATGTTCAGGGATTGATCTGGGATCAGGCCCCTCAAGTGAGTTCACACAAACAGCTGGGACCTCCCTCTCCAGCTTTTAGACCAGTAATTAGGGTATTCACCTAGGACAGGGATCGGCAACCTTTGGCACGCGGCCCGTCAGGGAAAGCCCCTGGTGGGCCAGGCCGGTTTGTGATCTGGTGTAAATAAGATCACATCTGGCCCCACTGTTTTAAACTGATCACATTAAAGTCTGGCTGTAAACTGAAATGTGACTAAAACTGAAACTGCTGGGTGCATGTTTATTTGTTTCGTTTACAGGTTACAAGATTTTTTTCTAACTACCTGAAAGCTTGAACATGGGATTTAAAATTCAAGCTTCTCTACCATTAGCAGTAATAGATATTCTGTGGGCCAAACATTACCCTCAGTAACACCTGTGTAAGTCAATGTAAAGCTAATAGGTGTAACTGGAACAATGGGCTGGCACAGAATTATTGAGGGCAGCATTTTAATCAAAGGAACCTTTACTATTGGGGCTAGCAGGGAAGAAAGACCCCAACTTAATTATCAGACGCTAGAGTGAGTTTGCTGGTAGTTGGAAAGAAAATGCCTGTTTACATATAAACAGAGCATATTTTATCTAGCAATCATTGAGACACAATCCATGTAGAACTTTGTGATGCCATGTTTATAGTCAGAGTAGAGCCATGACTTCATACTTTAAATGATCCAGGCAGCCAAATTGTAACCACTCTACTAAGGCAGGAATAAACAGAATATGCTGGTAAGATTCTTTGGTGAGCTTTGCAGTAACATTGTTTACATTTGCAAAGAGACTCATGTAGATTGTCCCTACTTTCCAATATTCCTGTTTCTACTACAGTACTTAAAAACTAATAATAAACTTACATATTCTTCCTGATAGTCTGCCAATTTCTTTTTGCCCAGAAATCCATTTGGAAGGAACTTCTGATTTTCTGCATCGTCGTTAGCAAATTGACTGAACACAAAGAAATAGCAAAATAAGAAAACAATAAATAAAGTTTACTACACACAAGAGACTAAGGGTCCAATTCAGTGCTCACTGGAATCAATGGAAAGACTCCAACTGCATCAGTCAGGCCCTGTATTCAAAACTCCTTACTCAGTTTTATTCAGTGTTACCTCTAGCAAAACTCCCACAGATGTCAATGGGAGTTTTACTGAAGGAAGCACTGCATTAAAACTGAATGAGACACTCAGGATTGGGCCTACGAACTTTGTTTAGTTTTAAAAAAGTCTAAACGATACATGGCAGATTCGTAGCGTTGAATACACCTCCCAAATTCTGTCAACAGTGTTGCCTTCCTTAGCAGCATTTTCCTTCCAATATCACACATCCTGTTCATTTTATTTACATTCTTGCAGGCTACCCCTTACCCTTTACCTCAGAAGCCCTGTATACCAAGTATCCACCTCTCCATTTCTAATCCCTCCTCAAAACACATTTCTGTTAACCCTATCACTGTTAACTCCGCCCCGGAAGAATTGCTATTATTTACTGATATAAAATAAAACCACTTCCCACCAACAAAAAGGCCTACTGCACCACAATGTGATAATTCTAACTACTGGTCACTCAGTGCTTTATGTACCATATCTGAACTCTTATGTATTATTTGTCTTTAGACCTCGATCCTGTACTCAGATCTGCTAGCATGGAACCCCTAGAGCATTCTGGAGGTGCAGGGATCAACACTAGCAGATTTAATTGCAAGACCAGGGCCTTAAAATGGAAGATATTGATATGAACCTAAATGGAACTACAGGATCCAAACACATCTGGGGAATATTTGAGTTGACTTTCCAGGTAAACCTTATCTTTACAGAGGATCAATGTGAAATCCTAGATCTTCCCTATTTGCCCAAGTTTGGATCCAGATCTGAACTTTGGCTCATGGCTGTGTTTAGGGGCAGTGAAGAAATATCATATTATTTTAAGAGTTAAATTGAATTCTGGAGCCATGTGTATCATCTAAGAGCAATGGCCAGGATTTTCAAATGTGGGTTCCCAAAGTTATGCTCCTAACTCCATATTTAGGCACTTAATGACGCGGCCTGATTTTCAGTGTTGCTCAGAACCCTCCGGTTCCTATTGATTTTTACTGAAGTTTTGCCTCAGTAAAGCAGGACTTAAAATTGTGATGCTTCTTAACAGTCAATATTAACTTTAGCTCAGAGAATCATTAGATTTCTATTTGATTTCTTGGTCTTAACGGAGTCATTCTCCAGAAATTTTTCTATTAATGAGTAAAGTAAAAGAAGAAATAAACTGCTTCTCTGTATAAAACTTTCACATTGAAATTGCATGTTTAAAAGGCCATTGCTTTGTCTTGAAATTAGTTTGAAGACTACATATTTTAAAACTAAGAGACCTCTGATCATGTAAATTGCAAACAAACAATTCTGAGTGAAAACAATGTGCTAAAACTTAGTAATTACATGTATCTAGGTGTCAAAGAACCCTGCAATTGCCTTTATAAATATACAGGTATTATGAGAATTGAGTGTTTATGATATTGGACAGCTTGTGTTCAGAGTCATGAACTGGAGAGTCAGTGCTGGCAAATCTCAGCACAGATTTTACCAATGCATCTCACTATTGACCTGGAATATCTCAGCTATTCTACCCACGGCGATAATCATGTCAAAGAGTGCAGTGATTTTGTGATTTGGGGAATAGCCACTAAACAATCAGACTAGTTTTAATTTGTGACCTAATCTGAATTTAATTTCAGGATGCCATAAGTGAAAGCCTGGTGCATCTGTTAGTCTTTGATTACCTCTTTTTAGTCTGAACATAAAGCCCTTTTTGTTTAAGTACATACCTGCTAATAGTAGCCTTTTCTGGATCTATTATATCAGTGTAGCTGTCTTCAATGCTTTCTCCGCTATTGCTCTCCTCATCAAGTTTGATGTTGACATTTTGCAGTTCCATGCGATCCATTTGAGTGGTCAGCGCTTTCTGGCTTCTACAATGCAAACAATACTGTACCTTCTGCTTACAGGTTCTCTCCACCATGTGTTAACTTTCAGAACACTCTGTTCTGCAAACAGATCACAAAATAACTCATTAGAATTTTCCTCAAATTAGATAAATGAGTGTGATGTACTCTGTTTGTGTTTGTTCTTTGTAATAACATTAAGAGAGGCAACTGCTGCAGATTGGGAAAATTCTGGATAAATACAAGCACAATACTCTTTTTTTTTATAAAGCATCTTTCCACTTGGTCTTTCTCAAAATGTAAGAAGACAGACCTACACAATAGATTTCCAACCTCTCTTAGAATAATAATAAAACACAGGTGTATATATAGTCTATCTATAAATAACTATCACTGTAAACAGATTTAACGTAAAATCTGGCAACAATTTATTTGTTAAATTCTTTCTTTTTGACTGATACCCTGGATAATCATTAAGATGCACCCTTAACCTGAGATTAAATACATCAGGGTTGGGTTGTTGATAAGGAAATGCTATATATAAACTTTACTGACCATTGTATGCAGATTATTTTTCTGAAGGAAACACTTGGCGTCTTGAAACATATATTGCTAGATAAGTATGGCTACATGTTAAAAATAATCAAGCTGCTGCTGGCTGCACTATGCACTTCACCCTATCATATCTCAGTTTAATACTTGTCCATCAAAACTTTTAGATAGTTTTAAATTATATAAACTATCTCTCAAAGAGAATTATTGCCTATTTACACAGTTTAATATGCCTTTACTCTCACAAGAGAGAGTCTGGATAAATAATAATAATCATCTGGATAAATAATCATCTTTTTATGTGGCCCAATACAAACCATATACTTTATAATATATATAGTATGATGATTTGTCTTTGGCATTAACATCAGTTTATCTTTACAATCTCAGTTTACAGATACACTTTTACATTTGTTTACTCATTCCCACATTTAATAATAAACCACTAATATTATGCAGTTGTACAGCATTTTTTTCTTCCAAAAGTACTATACCAAAATGACTTAATAATAGTATCCCCATTTCACAGATGGGGAAACAAAGGCATAGAGAGATGAAGTGACTTGCCGCAAGTCATCTAGCTGGTTATTGAACTATGGACCCATGGCTCTTTATCTTTGTGCCTCCCAGAATAACACATTAAAAGAATCCACCATATATTTCCTGAGTTGTGTACCAGAAAATAAAATACTGTATTCTTAATGCTATAAATGCCTAGAAACATTGCAGGATAAAAATTAGAATAAAAAAAAAAACCAGGGCAAGCAAAATTCTATTTTTGCTTTACTCTAGCCCTAAGCCTTCAATTACCTATTAAAAATTCTCCAGTTTTTGCATTCATGAATGTTTAGTTCCTCACTTAATTACCAAACCTTCACTAGTCTATATAGCCATTAATATGCCATTCCTAATATCTGCAGTCTCAAACTTATTTTTAGCAGTGCAACATTAAAGTGTGTGTGTAAAATGTAAATGTAAACTTTAAACACCAACACTGGAGGCTAAAACTGACCTTGTGTCAAAAACTACAATACATTTCCTTACTCTAGTAACATTTATTTTTTATCTAATAATTGAAATGCAAAAGAATATCAAGGTGTTTTTGCCAATTTCCTACCAGAGATAGCTGCTCTGTTTATTCCTTTCTGCTGCCACTCCAGGACTTAGACTGAGACTGATTACTGAATCTGGCATTGGGTCAGAGATAGCTAGGCAGGCTTACATTCCAAGGGTCTGATTTTGCCCAATGAGGACATGAATAACTCCAGCTGAAGTAATGAAAAGAACTGGGTCCTTGCTGAGACAATGGTAAACTCATTCATAGCAGTATCTCTAAAACCAAACTTTTTTGCGTTCCAGGAAGCAGATTCATATAGTATCCAGATGCTTATTTTAAATCTATATCTAAGAAAATCAGACAAATAAATCAGGAAATCGAACACACAGCCCGCTAGTGATGAAGAAAATCTCTGTTGTGAACACTAACAAATGCTCGCTTTAGAAATATTCTTCCAATTGTATGAGCCCTGCTATACTGACATTTTTAGTGTTGAGAAACAAAGAACAGTGTAGCAGAAACATTACCATGGATTAATTTACACAGAGATTAGGGTAAGAGAGAAATGCTGTACTGCACAGTCTGTACTATATTTGGAAAGGAAAAAAGAATATGACAGAAAAATATGTATTAGGGTGTAGGTACTATTTTAAAGGCTGATCCTTCAAACACTTACTTAAGTGAGTCATTTTACTTCTTGTCTCAAAGGACTATACAATTACTCATGTGTGGAACTGTTTTCAGGATCAGGCGCTTGGTACTGAATCATCATTAATTTTAGGTCCCAATCCTGTAAACACTTACTAATGAATGTAGTGCTTATTACCACAAGTAGTTCCCTTGATCTTCATCAGTGTTTAGAGGATTGGGATCTTAATTTGTTGAAATCCTTCTCTCCAGGTCACCGGTTTTGCAAACTCTTGCACACACATGAGCAACATTGGTCATGTGAGCAGGGCCGTCCTTAGTTATTCTGGGGCCCTACACAGCCCCCCCGTGAAGGGTGTGTGTGGGGCCCCAGGCCTCCATGGGGGGGGGCTGGCTTGGGGGGCAGGGAGAACCACCCCCCAGCACTCACCAGTGGCGCGGCTGGGGCCGGATTGCTGCACTCCCGCTGCTGGTGAGTGCAGCGCCCCGGCCCTGCTGCAGAGCTCAGATGAGTGGGGGCAGGGCTGGGCAGGGGCTGGAGCAGCACACAGCTGTGCAGAGCACCAGGAAATGTGGTGCCCCAAATTTCCTGGTACCCTACGCAGCTGTGTACTTTGCGTATGGGTAAGGACGGCCCTGCATGTGAGTAGTTCCAGACTCCATGGGAATATGCACATGCCCAAAGCTACTCTCATGCTTAAGGGCTTGCAGGATCAGGGCATAACTGAAGACTCGCACATTGCTGCACCTCAATTCCATGATGATTTATTTTGAAAAATTTTAATCGGTCACTCTGTCAGGATAGTGTTCCTTACTCTGAACACTTCTCATACCTAATGAAATCTTAAATTGTAGTTTGCAGTACTGTTGTAGCTGTGTTGGTCCCAGGATAGGAGAGAGACAAGGGGGGTGAGGTAATATCTTTTATTGGAGCAGCTTCTGTTGATGGAAGAGACAAGATTTAGAGCTGTACAGAGCTGAAGAAGAGTTTTGTGTTGCTCGACAACTTGTCTCTTTCCCCAACAGAAGTTGGTCTAATAAAAGATATTACCGCACCCACCTTTCCTTTCTGAAATTGTATACATTTTTATTTAATAAAAAAGACTACTAATTAATATGTATATATATTTTGTTTGGATTTTGCTATCATGTATTTTGCAGATTACAGACTTTTTACAGTCCAATCCTTAGATCCCAGTCCTGCAAATATGCATATGTAACTTTACTCATATGAGAAATGTTGTTGAAATCACTGGGACTACTCATGTAAGTAAACTTTGGTACTTGCATAAGTATTTGCAGAATCAGGGTCTATGTTATTTAGTCACATAATTGGAAGCTCAATTTTTTTCAGAAATTTATAAATATTTCCCAGGCATGTTTTATGCAAGGCAGTGAATGCACTGAAATGTTAGTTAATCTTACCCAAATCTTTGTGGAATCAGTTATTTATTGTGCAAACTTCTGAAATATGATCACCACAGACAAGTAACTACAGGCAAACCTATTTTTAACTTGTATCTAGGGTGAAAAAAAACCCTGCATGTTCAAAATCTCGGATGTACTTCACCTTCAAAAGAATCTATTCACATAAAATACACTGTTCACATAAGATTCCAATCTTCCAATAGCTGGCCTATATATCAAAGATGTGATACAGATTTCACATGCTCAGCTGCCAGCCAGCACTGGGTATTGCTATTGCTACCCTAATTAGTACAAGCTACAATGTTTGGAAACAATGTCTTTTCCCCACAAAGCACTTCTAAAGGTACAAACATAAAAAAAGGGAAGAACTGCGAATGCTATGCTAAACGGCAATATTATACACCAGCTCCTTTTTCTATTTTAGACCACTACTATTTTTTCCCTTAGGTATACATGTCAGAAAAGTCTACTAGCTTAACTATGTTCCTTAAATTCAGCTATAACATGCCTAGGCTTTTGCTGCTTCTTGTGGAACAAGAAGGCAGACTGAAACAAAAGGATGATTTTTTCTTTTAAGATATTACATTAAAATGAAAATATTGGATGCGAAAAGCATTACCCCTCTAAAGCAATATTTCTCTCAAAACCTAGGGTTATGTTCATCTGCTAGAATAGAACATAATTTTGTAAAAGGTACTCAGAAAATGTGTTCAAATAACTGCTTTTTAATATGTAATGAAACAATTAAGAAAAACATAAACTTGTTTTTCCATTTTATTTCATAGCAATTTTGATTTACTTTCTGCGCTGCATCTAGGATTCTGAATAAGTGGAGGTTTATCAATTAGGTTTATCTGTGACCTTGCCTTATCTGCCTAAGAGTTGCATTTTCAAGCATTTTGCAATGGCTGGTATTTTTATGTCCTATCACTGTATATGAATCAGTAGATTTTCCTGACTCTTAGTCTCAATGGCAAGGCTTTTAAAGAATTAATGTTGTTTCTAAAGCAATTTGAAGACGAAAAGTACCATAATTGCTACCTTAAAGTAAACACACAATTAAAATGAACAATTTATTTTCATATTCATTTACTTACTTGGATGTTAGCCAGGTAAACCAAGAGTCTTGATAAAAATTCTCAGTAGTTAACCAGAGGCCCTAAAAGAACACAAGCATATCATTCCTAATTATCTGGTCAACTTTAGAAACCTCCTGCTATTTTATTTCATTTCTTAGATTTTGATTTTCTGTCCAAAAAAAGGGGACTGAATTTCATGCCTGATGTAAAAACAAATACACCTGCTAATGCCAATTACAACTACAGTATAG